GTAAGTAGAACTGACTGGAAGGAGAGTGGATAGAGAATCAGCTGGAGTACTTCAAAGGCTGGCAAAGTGGAGGGAGCCAGAAGTAGGGGCTAGATTGTGACACTGAGGAAGCTTCTCTGCTGCCAGTAATGAGAAGCAAAAGAAGGTTTTATTTGTGGTACTAGGGACAGGACACAGAGCCTGGTGATTGCTAGGCAAGTTCGTACCACTAAGCTTTAACCCCAGCTCATTTTTTTTTTTTTGTAACAATACTGGGGGCTGGAACTCAGAGCCCAGGCACTGTCCCCTAACTTTTCCACTTAAGGCTAGCACTCTACCACCTTTGATGGTTTTTTTTTGTTTGTTTTTGGGTCCGTTCGTGGGGCCTGAACTCTGGGCCTGGGCACTGTCCCTCAGCTCTTCAGCTCAAGGCTAGCGCTCTACCACTTGAGTTACAGCGCCACTTCCAGCTTTTTTCTTTTTTGCTTATGTGGTGCTGAGGAATCGAACCCAGGGCCTCATGCATGCAAGGCAAGCGCTCTACCACTGAGCCACCTTCCCAGCCCACTCTACCACCTTTGAACCACAGCGCCATTTGTTTTTGTTGTTGTTGTTTTGGGGTTTTTTTTGTTTGTTTGTTTTTGGTGGTTAATTGAACATGAGTCTCACAGATTTTATTTTCAAATAGTGATCCCAAGATCTCAGCTCCTGCATAGCTGGGACTACAGGTGTGACTCCTCCACCTCTCTCTTTCCTTCCATACCTCCATTCCCAGTGTCTTGCTAAGTAGCCCCAGACTGGCTTTGAACTCCTGAACATCTTGTCTATTCTAGCATTCGTGTCCATGTCTTATTCTACAGTTTAGTCTCTAGTAGATAAGCAGGGCCCGTCTGCTACTTCTGTGGTAGGGTGGGAGGTGCTGGATTTTTTTTTTTTTTTTTTGAGGTGGGGAGAAAGTAACAAAGCCTCTTTAGGGCCATTTCTGTGGAGTTCAGGCCTGACTTCCTAACAGTGGCTTCTGAAACCCTAGGGAACCACTTAGCAAGTTATCACTTCAATACATTCCCTAGGGGCCTAACATAGCCTGGAAACCACAACTCTAACAGCCCAGCAACCCAGCCTCCCAGAGGAAAGTTCATAAGAAAGGAAATTTGCTTTACCAAACAGTGACACCTCAGAACATTAGCATATCAAATACCCTTAGAGGCAAGGCTCCCAAGCTACTCTACCGTTGAATTGGCTCATTGAAAATATCCCAAGCAGCAAGCAGGGCTCCACACTTGCACTTTTCACCTGATGTCACCTCTGTAATCCAGCCACTCAGAAAGCTGAGATCTGAGTATCAAGGCTCAAAGCCAGCCCATGTAGGAAAGTGTGTCTTAGTTCCAATTAATCATTAAAAAGCATGAGGCTGGCCGGGCGCTGGTGGCTCACGCCGGTAATCCTAGCTACTAAGGAGGCTGAGATCTGAGGATCACAGTTCAAAGCCAGCCCAGGCAGGTAAGTCCGTGAGACTTTTATCTCCAATAACACCCCTACCCCCTCAACCCCCAGTCCCACCTCACCCCCCACTGCCAGAAAACTGGAAGTGACACTGTGGCTCAAGTGGTAGAGTTCTAGCCTTGAGCTGATGAGTTAAGGGACAACACCCAGGCCCAGAGTTCAAGCCCCACAACTGACCAAAAAGGAAAAAAAAAGCAGGAAGTGGAGGTGTGGTTCAAATGGTAGAGCTTCAGTCTTAAGGTGGTGGGGAGCTAGGGGACAGCACTCCACCCCTGTGTTCAAGTCCCAGTACTGGTGTGTACACACACACACACACACACACACACACACACACACACACACACACACACACACACACACAAAGAACATGGGGCTTGCAACACGGCTCAAACTGCTGGGGACCTGGGGATCCATGATCCTCACATCTCAGCTTAGAATTACAGGCATAAGCCACCAATGTCCAGTGCAGATTTTATTTTATTTTTTTTGAGGGGGTGCCAGTCCTGGGGCTTGAACTCAGGGCCTGGATGCTGTCCCTAAGCTTTTTGTTTTAGTTCAAGTCTAGCACTCTACCACTTGAGCTGCGGTTCCACTTCTAGCTTTTTAGTGGTTAATTGGAAGATAAGAGTCTCATGTAGCTGGGCATCAGTGGCTCATGCCTGTAATCCTAGCTAATCAGAGGCAGAGGCCTGAGGATCATAGTTTGAAGCCAGCCTGGGCAGAAAAGTCCCTGTGAGACTATCTCGAATTATCCCCTCAGAAACCAGAAATGAAGCTGTGGCTCAATGGGGTAGAGTGCTAGCCTTGAGCAAAGAGCTCAGGGTCAGAACCCTGAGTTCAAGCCCCACTACTGACAAAAAAAAAAAAAAAAGATATGGCAATACCCAGAACCAGACAGCTCAAGATAAAGCATACCCAGTTCTCACAAGAACACTGCCAAGTACCTTTGCAACATCTGTACATCAATATAAACATAACTGTGCCCAATTTTAATGAATTGGATAAAAAGCCCTAATATGTATCAGTACTGGATTACTAAAAAATGTCAGTTGCTTTTAATTATATTTTTAATTATAGACTATAGTTAGGATAATACAGACGTAGATAAGACACTAGGATAACAGTGACCAATATAAGGAAAAACTGCTCTAACACTGTTCATTCATTCTCTCTTCAGCCACAGGGGACAGGCACACAGTGGTCAGGTATGTGCAGAAGCAGGAGGGGGAGGTCCCAGGGCAGAGGGCATGCAAAAAGCTTTAATGCGTGGCTTCTATGCAAAGTTCTGCATAGCGAATGGCAGCAAGTGGCAGAAAGAGGGGACACAGAGCAGTGGTGGCCCTTGCCTTTCTCACTCTCCAGCTGGAGCGTTCAGGTATGGAGACATGGCCAGGCATTCACAGCCTTTTCTTGAGCCCTTGACCTCTAAGAAGCCAAAAGCAGCAACAGAAGCACCAGCATGACCTTCCTAGGAAGGTCCAAATGGGACAAGAAGAACAAGAGAGGAAAAGCAGATAAAAACAGGTCACAGGGAGTCTGTTCTCTACGGCTACTCCCATGACTCAAACAATCAACAGAACACAGAAGTCCATTAGATCTGTCAGCAACAAGGATACAGAAGACATTGGAGTTTAGTTACCCAGAACATACAAGTCACCCAACAATTAAAATAGGAATACCTTAGATTTTGTGTAGAACAAAAACAAAAAGAAAACCATGCTTTTTGGCCCGAGTTTGTATTTAAATAGGAGTGGCCACTTAAAACCCCCCATCCCCAGTGGTTTTTCCTTTTGTTACTTCTGAGGTTGCGACATTTGCAAGCATCAGTCTTACCCAACTATGGGTCACAACTCACTGTAATGAATCTCTTGCTCCTTTAATACCAGGTCACAACGAGCTATGGCACAAACATTCTTTAAAACTTACAACGTTTACAACAAAGCACAGTAGAAACACACTGGGGCACTTTCAAAATAAAATATATTGCTTACTCCAATCCCAGCACCTGAGCACCAACTCCCTGCCATACCCACAGGCGTGGCTAAGCATAGATCTTTGGGATGGAGATTATATATACACACACACATATATATAGTGGCGTGTGTGTGTGTGTGTGTGTGTGTGTGTGTGTGTGTGTATTGGGACTTGAACTCAGGGCCTCTTGCTCAGCTTTCTTGCTCAAGGCTAGCACTCAACCACTTGAGTTATAGCTCCACTCCTTCTTTTTGGTGATTGGAGAAAACAGTCTCACAGACTTTCCTGCCTGGGCTGGTTTGTAACTATGATCCTTAGATCTCAGCCTCCTGAATAGCTAGGATAACAGGCATGAACCACCAGTGCTCAGCTTAGGATATTTAATTCCTAAATGGGCTGAGGGAAGAACCAACACTACTGGCTAAAGTGGGGTCAGCTCTTACTTTAAGCATGTCTATCTGCAGCTGGGAGGATAAGAATACATTTCTACCTATGTCGATTCATTCCTTCTAACTAGACCAAAGAGTATCTCATCATCATAGAAAGTAATTTCCATCTGAGAAGGGGGCAATCGACCTATTTGTCCTGTCATTCACGCACAATACATACAAGTGCTTAGTTCTGTACAATGACAAACCTTACAGGAGAGTGCACGCTCAAGCACTAGTGTTTTAAATATTTTTTCCATAATGAATAAAAAAAATAAAAAGGACACTTCTCACATTGGAGTTACGTCTGTAGTTCTGTCACATGATCCACACCACCCAAGAGCATGCTAATTCTTGTAAAGTCAGTTTAAAAAAAAGACATTTCACTGTACATACACATGCCCTTATGCAAGCTAATATAAAAATGGACATGGCCCCATCCAACCCTAGATAACAGTACAGGGAGAACTGACCTTAAAACATGAGAGGGAAAGGGACATAGAAATGACCAACTTTTCTTTGGAAGGGACCAGTGCTCCCTTCGCCAAAGTAGTCAATTTCACTTTCTTCTTTCATTCCACCATGGAATATGGTCCTATCGTTCCTTGTAGATATTTCCCTTACAATGTTCCCTTCAGTGATTCTCAAAGAAAATGCATAAACCTGATTGACAGCAATATCAATAGTGAGCATCTCTTGCTAAAGTCATTACCACCAACAGGCCCTTGGTCCTCAAAACCTGTATCTCATTTTTCCTTTGACATTGTATCTTCAGTTAGCTCTCACAAAGATACAAACTTTACATAAATCAATGAGAAATAAAGAGATGGAGAACAGTTATGATCATTGCTTTCCTTGTGCAGAATCCTGCTCTAAAGAAGGTATGAAGATAGAAATGCATGATCAAATCAAGGAATAAGCGCTGTGAAGGGAGGGCATGAATGCCCATCTACTATAGTGTGTGAACAGATGTGGCACCTCTGGCCAAGTCTGCTAGCCTTTTGCCAAAGCAGCTGTGACCACCCTATTACAGTCTCAAGTTTCCCCTTGCAGAGGTTCTTAGGGTTTTTTTTTTTTTTGGGGGGGGGGCACGTTGAGAAGGGAGCCAAAGATGGGATAAATAACTTTTAAGGATTTACTCCATCTCCAGGCTTAAGCATCCACTAGCATCTGTTTTAGATTTCCAGCTATGTGGGAGACTACTTTTTGAAGAAATAATCCATTAATATTGAGTGAATAAAACCCACTATTTTCCCCAAGCTGTGGGTCAGAATTTTAAAGGCTTGTCTTCTTTGATGTTTCAATTGTGGCCCACAACCAAGAAAGTCAGTAGGTTGACATAAAACTCCACCTTAAGGGAGTTGACTGATATCAAATAGAACCGTATCTTCAAATGAATCTTTTTTTTTTTTAAGTCACAATGACAGAACTTAGTCAGTATGAACTCTCTTATGTTTAATAAGTGCTGAGCTCCGGCTGAAACTCTTCTCACACTCTGTACATTCATAAGGCTTCTCTCCAGTGTGAACCCTCTGGTGTGTGATGAGGTTGGAGCTCTGGGTAAACCCTTTCCCACACTGCACACACTCATAGGGTTTCTCTCCCGTGTGTGTTCTCTGGTGCTTAATTAGATCTGACCTTTCACCAAAGCTCCGCCAACACTCGTTACATTCGTAAGGTTTCTCCCCGGTGTGGATTTTCTGGTGTGTGATCAGATGAGAGCTCCGGCTGAAGCTTTTCCCACAGGCATTGCATTCATATGGCTTCTCTCCAGTGTGGGTCCTCTGGTGCTGAACCAAGTGGGAGATGCGACTGAAGTTCTCTCCACATTCGTTACAGTGGTATGGCTTTTCCCCGGTGTGGGCCCTGCGATGCCGGACAAGGTCTGAGTTCTGGCTGAAGTTCTTCCCGCACTCATCACACTTGTAGGGCCTCTCACCCGTGTGGACCCGGTAGTGTTTGATGAGATCAGATCTCTCGCTGAACCCTCGTCCACACTCATTACACTCGTACGGCTTCTCACCGGTGTGGGTCCTCTGATGCTGGGCGAGGTGAGAGCTCCGACTGAAGCTTTTCCCACACTCTTCACACTCATAGGGTTTCTCCCCACTGTGGGTCCTTTGGTGCTGAATGAGGTGAGACAGCCGGCAGAAACTTTTCCCACACTCGTTACACTTGTGAGGTTTCTCGCCAGTGTGGATTGTCTGATGCTGAATAAGGTGAGAGCTCCTCCCGAAACTTTTTCCACACTCGTTGCAGTCATAGGGCCTCTCCCCAGTGTGCGTTCTCTGATGCTGAATGAGGTGAGAGCTACGGCTGAAGCCTTTCCCACACTCATAACACTTATAGGGTCTGTCTCCTGTGTGGGTTTTCTGGTGTCGGTTAAGGTCTGAGATCTGACTGAAGGCCTTTCCACAGTGAGAACATATGTGATACTGGATGCCTGGATGCACTTCTTTGTGGACAAGCAGATCGGTGACTTGTTGGAGAGGATAGCTTACCCACTCTTCCGCGGTCAGATCTCCCCATTGTCTTTCTGGTCTGTCACCACTGTCAAAGGCCTCTTCACCTTCAGGATTTTCCTCCCTACTCCCAACAGGTCTTTCATCAGATGTGGTTCCAAATTCTACCTCTTCACTAATCTCTTGCTTTGGGTTCACTTCATTTTCACTCCTGATCTCAAAATCTGCAATGAATGGGGAAATAAATAAACTAATGAATGCACAAATTCTCAATGGTGAGTGGCATTATACTAAAGGATTTTGGTTTTGTTTCCTTTGCAGGAAAGGGGATGGATCCCAGGACCACATACATTATTTCATTCATGACCATAGTCAACCTGGGAGTCAGGCAATATGACTTTTATCATGAATGACGATCCCAAGACCTAGGCAAGTGAAATGATGTGTCCAAAGGAAATAACTGAGTCAAGATTCAAACTCAGGTATGTCTGCTAAAAAGGTCATGCTCTGTATTATTTCATTTGGTGGCTCTTTAAGAAAACAATGTACATTCATGGTGTTTCAAAAGAAGAAAACCACCAGTACAGTATCTCACATTTAGCAACTCAAGAGGCTGAGACTTGGAGGATTGCAATTGAAAGTCATTCTGAGCAAGAAAAAAAAAACAAAAAACTGGAGCAGAGTTGTGGCTCAAAGTGGTGGAGCAATAGCCTTGAGCAGAAGAGCTCAGGAACAGTACTTAGTACTGTCAGTACTCAGGTCCTGAATTCAAGCCCCACAACTGAAAAATCAAAAACCAAACAATAACAAAAAAAACCCCACAACTTGTTAAGTCTTCATAATACCATTGTAATATTTACTAAAAATGTACCAGGGTAGTCAGGTAATGGTGGCTTACAACTATAATCTTAACTACTCAGGATATCTGAGATCAGGAGAATTGTGATTTTTGAGGCCAACTTGGGCAGAAAATTTCAATAGACTAACCATCAATAGCAGGGCTGGAGCTTGAGTGATGGTGCATGAGCTTATCAAGTATCAAGTACAAAGCCCTGAGTTTAAACCCAAGGACAGGAGGAAAAAAAGAAGGGTGGGAGAATATAGCCATAATATTCAACATACTTATGTGAAAATGGATGTAGGTAATTTGAGAGGATGGGTGGGTTGGGATAGATGGGAGAGAATGATGGAGGGAAAGACATTGATCAAGTTAACACCCCTTTGCACAACAACTTAAAGATAATCTTACAATTAAAAAAAATAGCTGGCCACTGGTGACTCATGTCTATAATCCTAGCTACTCAGGAGGTTGAGATCTGAGGATCACTGTTTAAACCAGCCTGAGCAGGAAAGTCTGTGAGACTCTTATCTCCAATTAACCACCAAAAAAGCCAGATGTGGAGCTAAGGCTCAAGTAGTAGAGTGTTAACCTTGAGCAAAAGAAACTCAGAGACAGGACCCAGGCCTGAGTTTAAGTCCCAGGACTGGCAAAAAAAAAAAGCTCAGGGACAGTGCCTAGGTCCTGAGTTCAAGCCCTAGAACTGACACTGACACACACACACATACACACACAGACTATACTAGGTTACTATAGAAAAAAATAAATTTTTAGGGGCTGGGAAGGTGGCTCAGTGGTAGAGTGCATGCCTTGCATGCCAGAGGCCCTGGGTTCAATTCCTTAGCACTACATAAGCAAAGAGAAAAAAGCCGGAAGTAGCGCTGTGGCTCAAGTGGTAGAGCGCTAGCCTTGAGCTGAAGAGCTGAGGGACAGCGCCCAGGCCCAGAGTTCAGGTCCCACAACCGGACCCCAAAAAAAAGAAAAAAAGAAATTTTTAGTTATCTATGTCATGTCTCCATTGACAAAAAAAAAAGTCATTGCTGAAAATACTTACTAGAGGGGCTGGGAAGGTGGCTCAGTGGTAGAGCGCTTGCCTTGCATGCATGAGGCCCTGGGTTCAATTCCTCAGCACCACATAAGCAAAAAGAAAAAAAGCTGGAAGTGGTGCTGTGGCTCAAGTGGTAGAGCGCTAGCCTTGAGCTGAAGAGCTGAGGGACATCGCCCAGGCCCAGAGTTCAGGCCCCATGACTGACAAAAAAAAAAAAAAAAGAGCCTCACAGACTTTCCTGCTTGGACTGGCTTTGAACCTTGATCCTCAGATCTCAGCCTCCCGAGTAGTTAGGATTATTGGTGTGTCACCAGCGCCTTGCTTATATAATGAATTTTGATCACTGTCACCCTTCATCATTCTCCATCCTTCACAATACTACTCCTTCCCTCAATTTTTAATTTTTGTATGTGTGTGTGTGTCAGTTGTGTGTCTTGAACTCTGGGCGCTCTCCCTCAGCTCTTCAGCTCAAGGCTAGCCCTCTACCACTTGAGCTATAGCACCAGTTCCAGCTTTTTCTGCTTATGTGGTGCTGAGGAATCGAACCCAGGGCTTCATGCAAGCAAGGCAAGCACTCTACCACTGAGCCACCTTCCCAGCCCTTAATTTTGTTTTTATTTATTTATTTTTTTGTTCTGGTCCCAGGGCATGAACTCAGGGACTGGATGTCTCTGCTCAAGGTTTGGACACTATCACTTGAGCTACAGCTATACTTCTGGCTTTTTTGGTAGTTAAAGAGTCTCACAGACTTTCTTGCCTAGGCTAGCTTTGAAATGTTATTCTCACATCTTAGCCTCCTGATTAGCTACGATTACAGGTATGAGCCATTAGTGCACAGCTAAAATTTAATGGATATTCTACAAAATTGAGAAAATTGAGTCTGGTACTGGAGGCTCACACCTGTAATTCTAGCTACTCAGGAGGCTGAAATACAAAGAGCCGCAGTTCAAAGGCAGCCCAGGCAAGTAAGTCCATGAGACTTTTTGTTGTTGTTGTTGGTCGTGGGGCTTGAACTCTGGGCCTGGGCGCTGTCTCTCAGCTCTTCAGCTCAAGGCAAGTGTTCTACCTCTTGAGCCACAGCGTCACTTCCGTTTTTCTAGTTGTTTATTGGAGATCAGAGTCTCACAGACTTTTCTGCCTGGGCTGGCTTTGAACCGTGATCCTCAGATCTGAGTAGCTAGGATTATAGGAGTGAGCCACTGGCGCCCGGCCATGAGACTCATTTCTTCTTCTTTTTTTTTTTTTTGGGTCCGGTCGTGGGGTCTGAACTCTGGGCCTGAGCACTGTCCCTCAGCTCTTCAGCTCAAGGCTAGCGCTCTACCACTTGAGCCACAGTGCCACTTCCGGCTTTTTTCTTTTTGCTTATGTGGTGCTGAGGAATCGAACCCAGGGCCTCAGGTATGCAAGGCAAGTGCTCTACCACTGAGCCAACTTCCCAGCCCCTCATTTCTTCTTATTAACCACAACAAGCTGGAAGTAGAACTGTGACTCAAGTAGCCCAGCACCAGCCTTGAGCACAAAAACTCAGGATAGTGCCCAGATCCAGAGTTCAAGCCCCAGTGTCAGTACAAAAATGAATGAATAAATGAATGAATAAATAAATGAAAGCTGAAAGAGTTGGGGTGAAATTCTGGTGGAAGATAGCATACTCTGAGGCCCTAATACTATAAAAATATAAAAGGAATTGGTCTATGAACAATACTACACACCTGATAACTTATGTCAAGTCCTAATAAGAGGCAAAGTTACAAATACTGCTCAATGCCCAGCTCAAGAATAGGTTGTTAGCTGGGCGCTGGTGGCTCACGCCTGTAATCCTAGCTACTCAGGGTTGAGATCTGAGGATCGTAGTCCAAAGCCAGCCCAGGTAGGAAAGTCCATGAGACTCTCTCTTTTTTTTGGGGGGGGGGGGGGGTCTGGTCGTGGGGCCTGAACTTTAGGTCTGGGCACTGTCCCTCAGCTCTTCAGCTCAAGGCTAGCACTCTACCACTTGAGCCACAGCACCACTTCCGGCTTTTTTTTTCTTCTGCTTATGTGGTGCTGAGGAATTGAACCCAGGGCCTCATGCATGCAAGGCAAGCACTCTACCACTGAGCCAACTTCCCAGCCCTCCATGAGACTCTTATCTCCAATAAACCACTAGGAAACCAGAAGTGGTGCTGTAGCTCAAGAGGTAGAATGCTTGCCTTGAGCTGAAGATCACATGGATAGCGCTCAAGCCTAGAATTCAAGTCCCACGACCAAAAAAAAAAAAAAAAAAAAAAGAATAGGTTGTTGCCAGGTGCAAGTAGCTCACACATTACTTAGGAGGCTGAGATCAGAGGATGATAGTTCAAAGCCAGGCCAGGTAAGAAAGTCTATGAGTCTCTTACCTCCAATTAACCACCAGAAAACTGGAGATAGAGCTGTGGCTCAAAGTGTTAGAGTGCTAGCCTTCAGCAAAAGAGCTCGGGTACAGTGCCAAGGCCCTCAGCTCAAACCCCAAGATTTAATAAAAAGGGGAGGGGACAAGGAAGGTGGCTCAGTGGGAGAGCGCTTGCCTTGCATGCATGAGGCCCTGGGTTCCATTCCTCAGCACCACATAAGCACAAAAAGCTGGAAATTGTGCTGTGGCTCAAGTGGTAGAGCGTTAGCCTTGAGCTGAAAAGCTGAGGGACAGCTCCCGGGCCGAGTTCAGGCTCCATGACCAACAACAACAACAAAAAAAAGTCTGGGCTTTGGTGGCTCACACCTGTAATCCTAGCTACCCAAGAAGCTGAGATCTAAGGATCGCAGTTCAACGCCAGCCCAAGCAGGAAAGTCCATGAGGCTCTCATCTCCAATAAACTACTCAGAAAACCAGAAGTGGCACTGTGGCTCAAGTGATAGAGCGCTAGGCTTGAGTTGAAGAGCTGAGGGATAACGCCCAGGCCCAGAGGTTGTTACTGGGTACAGTGGCTCACCACTGTAATCCTTGTGTTACACAGGAGGCAAAGATCAATAGGATAATGGCGTTAGGTCAGCCTGAGCAAAAAGATCATAGTATCCAGCTTTACCAGTAAAAGCTGGGCACAAGCTAGGCTCTGGCTCTGGTAGCTCACACCTATAATCTTCAAGAGGCTGAGATCTGAGAGGATCATGGTTTAAAGCAAGCCCAGGGAAGGAAAGCCCGTGAGACTCTTATCTCCAATAAACATTCAAAGAGTAAGAAGTGAAGCTGTGGCTCAGATGATAAAGCACTAGCAAAATACTCAGAGACTACTTCCAGGCCTTGAGTTCAAGCCCTGAGATGGGCAAAAAAAAAAAAAAATAGTGCATATATGTTATTCAGATATACAAGAAATGTAAATACATGGATAACAGTCCAGGCTGGCTCAAGCATAACCATGAGACTAGGAGTGTAGCTCAAATGGTGAAGTGCTGCTCTTAGCAAGTGTGAGGACTTGGGTTCAAATGCCAATACTGCTAAACAACAACAAAAATGCATTGTTTATTCCAATTATATCCAGACCAAAGGACAATAAAGAGAGAACAGGTTTGCAGACCATGGGAGGGGGGTGGGCGATGAACTGCCTTCTCTGACAGAATTTGTGATCTCACTATTTCAGGAGCTTTATGGAACAATGTTTAATACACTTGTGATCTATGATTAACTCAAAACATCTCTCAGCAAGAACCTACGCAGGAATCTGAGGCAAAGCTGGGACTCTGAAGCCAAACCAAACACAGAGAGTGGCTTCTTTTTCTCCCACTCCTCCCATGAACCTAGGTCAGAACCCTCACCTTCTCATGCCCTAGAGAAAAAGCACCATTTACAGGGGGCATTTATATTCTGGCACGCAACATTATGTCAGACCTGTTTGGTCAGGATCTGTACAAACAGGCTGTAGAAGAGCAAATGACTCAGTGCGAAAGAAATCTGAACATTTCTAAAATGTATAGAAGAATCCTCCCCCCCTTTTTTTGGCAGTGTTAGGACACTAGGCTTATTTACTTGGTTGGTGTTCCACTATTTGAGCCATGCCTTGAGCATGTTTTTTAGAGAGAATGTGAACTGGACAGTCCCACATTCAGATTTGCTTAAGCCTCCAACTCAAGCCAGTAACCAATCAAGTGCTTTAAAAATCAAACAACTAAGCCGGGCACTGGTGGCTCACGCCTGTAATCCTAGCTACTCAAGAGGCTGATATCTGAGGATCACGGTTCAAGGCCAGCCCAGGCAGAAAAGTCCTTGAGACTTTTATCTCCAATAAACCACTAGAAAACTGGAAGTGGTGCTGTGGGTCAAGCGGCAGAGCACTTGCCTTGAGCTGAAGAGCTAAGGGAAAGTGCCCAGGCCTCGAGTTCAAGCCCCACGACCGACCAAAACAAACAAATAAACAAACAAACAACTAGGCTATGTTGGAAGGGTTGAGTCATTTTGATAGTTTCAAAATTGAGGGAGGGGAGATAAAAAGGTAGAATCCTTATTTACCTAATGAGACAACATTTCCATAATTCTCCTGCATAACATCTCGGTAAAGATCCCTTTGGGTAGGGTCCAGAGGTCTCCATTCTTCCCGAGTTAGGTACATGGCCATGTCTTCAAATGTCACAGGTGCCTGAAATCACACGATGCTTCTTCACTACTCCATATCTTAAGAAGCTAGTACCAGTTTTTCTTCTTGAAATTAGAGACATGGTTAGAAATTGTGAGGAAGTAAAGGCATTAAGTGATTTGTAGAGTCTAAAGGAGAAATAAGAGGGAGAGGGGGTCACCAGCAGACTGCTCTGGGCCTGTGGCCAGATCCCTGCTCCTCTAGGAGAGAATTTTATCTTCTCACCATGCTTTACTAGAGCATAATCTAGCACATTGTTTCATACCTTTATATAACAAGGTTTCTCTTCTTGGAATATCTTTCTCAGACTAGAGAAGTTGTACTATTTATGAGCCAGCTCCAGTGCCAACTGTTGTTCGGGAGATCTCTCCACTCCACTCCTTCCCCGCTACCCCAGATGGAATTAATCACTCCCACTTCTCGCTTCCCACATCTCAGCACTTCGTTGCTACGGCAAATACAGCACTTGTCACGTTGTGCCCCTTAGCCGGATATGACTTTCTCCCTACAGATTGTGAGCAGGCGGGTACTGCCCGACTTGTCCATCTTTCATCTCCCTGGTATTTAAAGGCATATTGCTGGTGTCCAATACATGCTTATTTCATATGCTCTGGTATTCTGCCTAACACCGAAGCAATCGAATTTTCTATACACAGGTTTGCAGAAAATGTGGGTCGAGGTCCGAAAAGGCAACCCCTCGGCTTACCTGGGATCCAGCCATGAGCAGGGTGGCTGCCATCTCGGGCACGAGGCTTGGCCTCCGGGGTGAGAGTAGGAAAAGCAGCCAGCAGCAACCAAAGCTGAAGGAGGCGAGAAGCAGGGCGTGAGGCTCGGAAAACAGGCCCTGCCCACTCCCCAGAGCTGGAGTTCTGGCGGCCAGGCAAGCGAAGAAGGCCCTGAATCAGGGGTGGGTCACTCTTCTCCCTAACCCCCAAGTGTGACCCGCCCTCTGTGTCTCCGCTACAACAGGGTAGAGGCAGTGCCAGAATCCACTAGGACAGCACGCTGGCCAGGTCCCCTCCCGGGCCCGGGGTCAGACCGATGCTATCTCTGGGAGGAGGCTCACAGCCCAGCCCACAGAACGCTGCTGCTCTTCCAACTAGGGCCTGAGTCCTTTCCGGCAGATGTTTTAACCAATCAGCGAGGAAAACTACAAAACACCCTGCCAATCAGATGCCGTATATTCGGCCCGCCTTCTACAGCGTGGCTGAGCACCTCTACTACGCCTGCGCCTGCCCCGTGGCCTGCCGGGACTTGGAGTTCTACTCTGGCGTACAAAGGCCAGTCAGAGGCCAAGAGCTGAGGAGGGAAAAGAACAAAAGGGTGCAGAAGCAGCACATCCTTCTAGCCAGAGCAGAGTATTTCTCCCACTTCTTGGACACCACAGCCTGATTAAGCCAAGGAAGTTGCCCAGCATCTCCTCACATCCCTAGAACTATCTCGAGTCAGGTCTTATCATCCGCGAAGTCGAACTTTTAAGTTCTGGCCTGTGCTTGGAGCTCCGCTGGGATTCACCATCACTTGACAGCCCAAGCCAGAGAGGAAAGCGGTGGCCACCCACTCCTGGGGCGGGGCGGGGGGGGGGGGCGGAACGAGAGGGAGGAAGATTTTGGAGGCCGCGCTGGAACTTTGGGCTCCGCCCACACACTACACCTCCCAGCAGCGCCTACGGCACTTGCTCCGCAGACTACAACTCCCAGGAGGCTTTGCGCCGTCAGTCTGGCGCGCGCGTTTGGTCGGCGGCCCGGGCTTGGGATGCCCGGGCTCGGTCGCTGTTAACCCTGTAGGGCCGTCGTTCTAAAGAGCGCACCCCACGCCAGAGAGGGGGCAGAGAAGGGAAAATGGAAGGAAATCAGGAGTGGAGGAGGGTTAAGAACGTGTAAGGACGGAGCAGAGACGGACACTCCTGAATTCCTGGGGGCCTCCGGCATCGAGGAGACCCTGGGTCCCTGGGGGCCTGAACCGGGAAGGTCCTCGGGGGTTTGAGGAGTCCCTGTCTAGACGAAAACCCCAATAAAGGACGAGCAGATTTACCTCCTAGCCTGCAAAAGATCACCGTCTTCAAGATCCCAAAGCCGCAAGCAGACCGCTTGCTTTTCAGAAAGATGGTAGCGATCACGGGCACATTTCAGAGATCACAGATTTGCAGATAGATTTCGAATCTGTAGACTTAGCAAGCAAAGCCCAGGAGACAGTGTAGGCTGATCCCAAAGACTTACAGATTACGGAGACCTCAGACTCTCCTGCCAGCTCAGAGGAATTACAGGCTTCTAGACAGATGTCCGATGTCCCCGCAGCTGGTCAAGACACAGCAGCAGCTGCTAAACTGAATTTAGTAGAAATAGAAGGACATGCAGCCTTCGCCTTCCCCAGCCAGGCTGGGGAGGGAATTGGATAATGGAAGTCCAGCACTAAGGCAGAGCAGGCATTGTGCGTGGGGAAGAGAGCTCCAAGCTTGCAGTAGCCTTGGAGAGGGAAGTGATGGAAGAATATAGCAGCTTATTAGGGACTCCCACCCTCTCCAAGTTATAAATATCCCCAGAACCTTGGCTACATGCCCGGAAGCCTGTTGTCTCTAGCTGTACCGGAGACCTCTCTGCCTGGGCTGGGAAAGGGGCTTTTCTTTTGTTTTGCAGATACATCCACCCACTGAATGACTTGATTTTTTTTCTTTTTTCTAATATGACTCCCGGCCATGCTTTTATTAGTGAGTGTTCTGTTCCCAGTGCCTGGCTATTTATGGTTAAAATACTCAAGTGGCTAGAAAGAACTCCTAGGACCCTACCCAATCATAATACAACATCTTCCAACCCTACCCCCTCCCATATCCAAGGTGGGCTTAGGAATTTTTTAGATGTCACAGAAGTGCCATCTTGCCCCATCTAACATTGATCCGGACACCATATTAGTTAGAATCCTATGGGGCTCCCAGAAACAACATACCTAATAGAATGAGTTCATCAAGATCAGGCAAACTGGGCTGGGAAGGTGGCTCAGTGGTAGAGAGCTTGCCTTGCATGCATGAGGCCCTGGGTTCGATCCTCAGCACCACATAAGCAGAAAAAAAAAGCCGGAAGTGGTGCTGTGGCTCAGTGGTAGAGCGCTAGCCTTGAGCTGAAGAGCTGAGGGACAGCACCCAGGCCCGGAGTTCAGGCCCACAAGTGGAACCAAAAAAAAAAAAAAAAAAAAGATCAGGCAAACCTAGTTTGAAACCAGTCTGTGACTTTCCGTCAGATAGTCTCTCTAGGCCAATTTCTTTTTTCTGTAAAATGAGGATTGTTATACCTAAGGATGTTATAAAAACTATATGACTTAAAGCACTCCACAGAGAGTGAGTACTAGAAAGATAGTTCTTAAGATGAATCTCATCTTTGATTGCTTGGGAGATTTCCAGAAAGGCTCATGGGCATATTCAATGGCCCTGAGAATCTGGGAAAACAGACTGGCTCAACCCCTGTGAAGATCTGGGGGTGACCTTGTCCTTAACATTGTTGTTTCTGCTAGAAATGCTGGGAGAACTGGAAGTTCAGCCAGTTTGGTGTGTTCAAGTGAAGGGTGTGTTGAGCAGAGTAGAGCAGAGGTATTTGGGACTGCCAGAGACTAGCAAGCTGAGGCTTCATACTCTGGAAACCACTCAGGGTGAATAACAGGTCTCCTAGAAACAAGGTGGAGAGGATTGTTACAGACTGGGTATAAGTGATTGCAATTCTGGGGCTAGGCTTGAGTTATGGGCCAGAGTGTGCCCAGCAGGCTCTGTTTTTCAAGCTTTCTCTGGCAAATTGCTTTGTCAACTTTCTGAAGGCTTTTTATACTCCCTATTGCTCCAGTGCTTTAAGCCCTTCTTTGTTTTCTCTAGGTTCCTTTCATTCCTTAGGACTACCTGGGGGTTGAAAGACTCTGGAGCTGGGTTTGGCTGCTGGCCTCCTCCTGAGTAATTGCTTTCTTCTCTCTTCACCTGGGACTCTTCTGAAGGTGGGGTAGAAAAGCTGAGCAGCTGGAAAGTTTGATTGCTCTCCAGCCCCTGGGAGAGTGGGGAAGAAGAGGAGGAAAGACAGTGGCTGAGGGGCTTCCTGTTGCCGCTGTTAGCTGGACTCAGGATTGGGGTCATTGAGAAGGAGATAGCTTCCTGACCCATTGTTCAGAGCCAAAATGTTCCTGGATGTAGGTTTGCAATAAGGTCTCAGAAAACCTGTTCATTCATTTAACAAACGATGAGCACCCAGTGTGTGCAAACGCAGAAGTACAGCCTGACACTGGGGAAAGGGACCAGGAGAACAAGTCAGGCTTTTGACATCTCCAGATGAGAGTTGGTTTTTTCCTCAGGTGAGGTATTATATTCTGTCAGAGCCACTGCTATTTGAGCAAAGAGCTTCCTTGCATATCCTATAACCACATCACTCTGAGCCTGTGAAGCACTACAAATTACATTTTAAGGGACTGGGACTGTGGCTTAGTGGCTTAGAGTGCATGAAGCCCTGGGTTCGATTCCTCAGCACCACACAAACAGAAAAAGCCAGAAGTGGTGCTGTGGCTCAAGTGGTAGAGTGCTAGCCTTGAGCAAAAGAAGTTCAGGGATAGTGCCCAGGCACTGAGTTCAAGCCCCAGGACTGGAAATATATATACATATATATATATGTATATATATTTTAATCTTTTTTTTTTTTTTGCCAGTCATGGGGCCTGAACTCTGGGCCTGGGCGCTGTCCCTCAGCTCTTCAGCTCAAGGCGAGTGCTCTACCACTGGATCCACAGCATCACTTCCGGCTTTTTCTGTTTATGTGGTGCTGAGGAATCGAACCCAGGGCCTCATGCTTGCAAGGCATGTACTCTACCACTGAGCTACCTTCCCAGCCCCTATATATTTTAATCTTATAATTATCTTGTGAGCAACACAATTGTGTTGTACATTTTGGAGTGTGTATCAGAAACATTAATTTGTTAAACATTAAAACATTTGTTTCCAAGCTGGGTACCAATAGCTCATGTTTATAATCCTCGCTACTTAGGAGACTGAAGTCTGAGGATCACTGTTCAAAGACAGTTAGGGCAGGAAAGTCCATGAGACTCTTACCTCCAATAAACTATATCCCCCCCAAAAAAAGCAGGAAGTAAAGCTGTTATTCAAGTGGTAGAGTGCTAGCCTTGAGCAAAAGAAGCTCAGGGACAGGGCCCAGGCCCTGAGTGCAAGCCCCAGGACTGTCACAAGAAAGAAAAGAAAGAAAGAAAGGAAAGAAAGAAGGAGAGAAAGAGAGAAAGAGAGAGAGAGAGAGGAAGGAAGGAAAGAAGGAAGGAAGGAAGGAAAGAAAGAAAGGCTGGGCACCAGTGGTTTACGCTTGTAATCCTAGCTACTCAGGAGGCTGATCTAAGGATCATGGTTCAAAGCCAGCCCCGGCAAGAAAATCCATGAAACTCTCTTTTTTTTTTTTTTTTGGGTCCGGTCATGGGGCCTAAACTCTGGGCCTGGGCGCTGTCCCTCAGCTCTTCAGCTCAAGACTAGCACTCTACCACTTAAGCCGCAGCGCCACTTCCGGCTTTTTTCTTTTTGCTTATGTGGTGCTGAGGAATTGAACCCAGGGCCTCGAGCATGCAAGGCAAGCACTCTACCACTGAGCCACCTTCCCAGCCCCCATGAAACTCTTATCTCCAATAAACCACCAGAAAACCGGAAGTGGCACTGTAGTTCAAGTGGTAGAATGCTAGCCTTGAGCTGAAGAGCTGAGGGACAGCGCTCAGGCCCAGAGTTCAAGCCCCACAACCAACAACAACAAAAAAAGAAAGGAAGGGAAGGGAAGGGAAGGGAAGGGAGGAAGGAAGGAAAGAAGGGGAAGGAAGGAAGGAAGGAAAAAACAACAAGGGCTGGGAATGTGGCTTAGTGGTAGAGTGCTTGCCTAGTATGCATGAAGCCCTGGGTTTGATTCCTCAGTACCACATACACCTAAAAAGCTGGGAGTGGTGCTGTGGTTTAAGTGGTAGAGGTAAAAAAAAAAAAGCTCTGGAACAGTGCTCAGGCTCTGAGTTCAAGCCCCAGGACTTGCAAATAATAATAACAACAGAAACGTATTATTTCCCCCTTTACAATCCTGCTTTGTCATCTTGCATTTCTCATTGAGTTTCTCTTGGCCCTGTGAGGAGCAATGAGGAATTGGGGTCACAGGAGACATGATCTGTACTTTCTCTAAGTGCCACATAGGAGGTGGCTAGTCTACACCCAGGAGAGCAAAGAGGTGACATCTGAATTGGCTTGCAAAGACCAGAGGCCTCTAGGAGATGCAGAAGGTGGGAGGGAAAGCATTCCAGTCTTCCAGAACAGCATGTGCAAAGGCACAGAGGCGTGAAAGGTCAGAGCTTGTGGTAGGATTGATAATGGTGGAGGGAAAGGGGCTGCTGGAAGACCAGCAGAGTGGAAGAAGCAGGGCAAGGACATCTCACGTCCCTGTTTGTCTCTGCTTTCGACTACAGATCAGCAACTCTAGAGATCAGACACAAGGTAGCCTGGGGGCTGGCCTGCAGTGAACAGAACAGATGGTCTCTGCAGGCAAAGGGCGAAGGACTCAGAAGTCTGACCTCATGCATGACTGATGGTTTATTCCAGAGAGCATTTTCAGAAAATACAAACACTGGCATTTAAAATGTATAACAAACCTTAGTATTGTCTAGCGGAATGAAAAACAGCAAAAGAGTCCGCATTATTGAGTCTAATTCTGTACCAGACCTTGAGCTGGGAAATCAGACACTGGCTCTGACTGCAGGGCTACTGTGAGGATTAAAGAGCCTGGCACAGGCCAGCCCTTGGCACATGGTGGTGGCCACTGTTATTGAAGGGAAGATAAAATGTGTCACAGATGTTCTTGAAAGTCACACTCCAAAGCGGCCCAGAGCAAGACTGGGCTTGGGTTCAAATCCAGACTCTGTCTTCTAAAAATGAATTATTCTTGAACCTTGGGTAACTCAGCTTGTAAAGATTGTACTAGTCCCAATTCACAGAGACAGAAGGTAAAATAGTGGCTGTTAGAGAAGAGGGGGGGGGGCGGGGGGAGAGGAAATGAGCTACTTTTAAAAGAGGTTCAGTTTTACAGGATGAAAAACTTTCAAGAGATTGGT